ACTCAAGGTCCTTATGGGCCTTTCTGGGTAAGCATACATCCCTACATACATATGGTATCCCTACATACATGTGACCGCCCTACATACATATGGCCACCCACTCCTAGGAATATAATGGACATGGTTTTCCAGCTCTTCCACTGAGGGCTTCTGATAGTTGCCAGTGACCTCATCTAGCCTTGATTTTAAACAACAACTTCTGATTGTTTTGGTCAGCCTCCCATGGGGGAGGCTATTTGTACTGGGCAAGCTCACAGGTCAGATTCAGGCAGCTTATTGAGTGGGGTCTTCCAGGCAACTACCACACAAGCCAAGTAATGACCCCTGGGAATTGGGCTTCTAAGAAGCTCCAAACCCATTCCAACTCTTGCAGGGTCTGGCAAGCTGCTGGCCCTCACTCAGGTTAAGGGCTTTTTACAAAGGTTACTATGGGGGTAGAAAGCAGAGAAGAGAGAAATAAACAAGTTGATACCCCACAGTCTTTTCTGTTCTTACTCTATGTTTTTCTTGAGTAATTACTGCCCAGACTTTTGCAAGCCTTTGGTTAATTTCCAGGGCTTTGGAAATGCCAGTTACTAGAATGTTTGCTCACTGTCTGCTTTGCAGAAGTTCTTTCTCCATTGTTGGTTTGTTGTTGCTGTTTTCTTATCTCTTCAAATTAGTTGTCAAATAAGGCCAGGAGTTTCCTTGGGTATCTTTGGCATCTTTTTTTCTTTTGTTTTGTTTTTGACACACGGTCTCATTATGTAGCCCTGACTGTCCGGGAACTCTATGTAGACCAGGCTAGGCTTGAACTAGGAGAAATACCCCTGCCTGTGCCTCCGGAGTGAGCTCTGGGTGCAATTAAAAGGCACGCGCCACTATGCCTGGCTGTGCGATCTTTTAATGGACAAGCACTTGCTCTTTTCTTCTTTCCTCTTGACATTTTCTTGTTGAAGCAAATCCTCATTTATCATCTAGTCTCTGTTTTCCATGTTGCATTTCACAATTGGCTCAACACAGCCTTTGCTCTCTTTGTTTTGTATCTATTTGCATGAAATAGGTGGCTCCTGTTGGCGATCTCCCCTGGAAGTGCCATTTCCAAACCCTGCCGTCAGTGCACCAAGAGGTGACCCCTCCCTTGGCGCTGTCCTCTTCTGCCCCTGCCCCTGAGAAAGCCCATCAGCTCCTCCCCCTGAGGTGCTCAAGGCAACACCTACAGTTTAAGACATGGTCCCCCCACACCCCAACATGCCACATGGTTCTCCCTCGTGGTTTCTCCTCTTCCCCGGGATGACCCGGGAATGCTTTGCTCAGATTAAAACCTGGACTTTAATTCAGCCTTATCTGATTTATTTCGTCCTCAGAGAGACTTAATATCGGATACAGAAATTTATCAACTCCACCTGAAGACTTACCTGTGTACAGGTCTGCTGGGGTGAGAGTTCCTAGGAGCTGGTGTCTGTAGTTCCTAATGAATCATGTCAGGAAGCTCACTGCCTCTTCTTTCTTGTGGCTCTGTAGTTGCTGAAGACCTGTCATCTGATCAGGTTCATTTACATTGCTCACACACTCCTATAAGAGAAACGTCTGCCCATCAACTGTCTGGCTCCCCTGCAGTGTGGTTGGGATGGAAAGGCCTGACACATGCATTAGCCTTTTCTCTGCTTACCAACTCTAGAAATGAAAACTGGTTCCTAGCCAACAGTACTGTTCCAGTATTTCTTGAACTCACTGCTTCCAATGTATTTTGTGTGACTAACTCTTCTGTAATCACTCTTATTAATGTTCAGATTGTCTCATGGTTGGTACCTGAGGAACCTTGACGTTAACTCCAGTCCTTTCAAACTGACTCCAGTTGTCTTCAAGAATATCCCTGAGTTCTCCAAGTTGCTGTGCCATGATGGCATAATGTTTATTTTTTGACTCAAACTGTGATTGGCTGTCTGAAAAGCCCCATTTTTTTTGTAGCACAGCCTGAGGACAAGCATGCTCACTGCTACTGCATTAGCTTGTGTTATGACTGTTTGTATGCCTACACCAATGCATAATTGTAGCAGTCTTTCTCAGACCACCAGCTCCCAAAATGTAAGTAACATGGAGACTTTACTGCAGTTATGAATGATCAGCCTAGCTTAGGCACGTTTCTGGCTGGCTTTTTAAACTTAAATTAACCTGTTTCTCTTCATGTACATCTTGTCTGGCGCTTTGTACCTTTCATTCCGTGTGTCTTTGTGTCTGTCTGTCTGGTGACTGCCTGGCTGGCTGGCTGGCCCAAGACTTCTCCCTCTCCTCCTTCATTGTCTTCTCTCCCTCTCAAGCCTCGATTCTTCCTCCTCCTTATTCCAAGACTTCTCCCTCTCCTTCTTCATTGTCTTCTCTCCCTCTCAAGCCTCGATTCTTCCTCCTCCTTATTCTTTGTGCCCACCAGCCTTCCCCCGACCAATCCATCTACTGCCTACTTATTGGCCATTCAACTTTTTATTAGACCAATCAGGTACCTAAGGCAGGCAAGGTGAAACAGCAACACATGTTTACATAATTAGACAAATTCAGCATAAACAAACAATACATCTTTGCCTAGTTAAACAAATGCAGAATAAACAAATGCAGGACACCTTTACTTAATCAGAGTAACATTCTGCAATACATAATGCTGTGCATTAACATAATATGCACTGTATTTGCATAATATATATCACATAGCATTAAATACATAAATATCATTAAATATATAACTAGATAATGAAAATTTTAAAAGCCATTTGCATAATATTAGATCTCTTGAACTTAATTTTTCTTTTTTATAACTACAGCATTTTAAGATCTTTTTCCCAGAATATATTTGCATATGTTATTATTTTCTAGTTCCATTGACAAGAATCTACAGGAAAAATAATGATGATGATATTTGTTTTTCCCTATGGGAATAATTTTAACTATTCACCATTGAGTCTGCCCATGGCCCCTAATGTTGTTTACCAAATTGAGGGTGTTTCTTCTATCCCTAGTGTTAATAAGACTGTATAGTCAATGCATACAGAATTTTAGAGAATGCTTTTTATCTATAGGGATGATTTTAAGCAAGCCTTTGTTACCCAATACATTGAGACATCTCTCAGTGCTGACCCACCATTCACTTGAGAACATATTTCATTTATTTGTGTGTGTGCTGTTCTTTTGATAGAGCTGAGGAACTATTTCTTTGTATTATTCAGTATTTTTATCTATAACTTTAATCAAATGGGCTCATATGCATCCATTTCTGGGCTGCCTTTTTTCTTATTTATTTGTTGTTTTTTTGTTTTCAGTGAGGGTTTCAGAGTTTCTGGGTTGCCTTTTACTTTGGTGAGGGTTTCAGAGTTATGTTGATCCTGAACTCGCCACTGACTCCTCTTGTTCTTTCTGTCATCTGGGACAGAACTGTTTGCTGAAGGGTTTTTTTTGTTTGTTTGTTTGTTTGTTTGTTTTTAATAAAACTCTCCTAGCAAACAACTGTTTGTTTGTTTGTTTGTTTGTTTGTTTTTAATAAAACTCTCCTAGCAAACTCTTAGGCCCTTGCCCTTTTGCTATTAACAGTTGTTTTTGGTTTGGTCTATCCAATTTAAATTTCGAGTTTAATTAAAAAGTATGTATCAGACTGAATATTATATAAAAAAAGCACATTTATTACAGAAAATTCAGAAAGCATGCGCTCATGTTCTCTTCCCTTTAGTTCTCAGTGTGTCTCAGAGACGATGGCCACCAGCAGCGGGGTGAGAGCTCCCCATCACATTTGGAGCACAGGGGAACTGAAATGTCTTACTGTTACTCACTAATGAGCAACCACACAATCCTCACACTCTTATGTGTACACTGTCATCTTCCCACTCACACACAGTATAGTGTAATATGTGCATATAATCTACTATTGTATGTATTGCTATAACTTACACATACATGAGAATGGACTTTTCTAGTATGAGATTATACTGTATGTGTTTATTATATTATATATGTATGTATACATAACTTATAAGTTTCTGTTTTAACCATTTTGTGTGTGTGTGTGTGCATATGTGTGTGTTAGTGCACTGTGTGTGTCAAGGGAATGTATGTGCTTATGTGTGTGTGGGGGGGATGTGTGAATATGTGTGTGTGTTGGAGGGATGCATGAACGTGTGCATGTTCACGCATGTGAAGGCCAGAGATAACTTAAGGTGCCAGCCATCCACCTCTTTTGAGACAGCCTAGAGCTCACTGATTAGGCTATACTACTTAACCACTGAGCCCCAGGCATCCTCCTGTTTCTGCCTCCCTAGTTCCCAGACTATAAGCATATGCCACCAAAACTGGTGTTTTTTATGTGGGCGCTGAGAATTGAACTTAGGTTCCTCATGCTTGCAAGGACCCAATTGAACCATCCCCCAGGTCCACATCACCACCATTTTAGTCATTGTTAAGTTTTGGTTCAGGGAAACCATCATCATCACCTGTCTCTAGCATGTCCTTTATCTTTTAAAACTGAAGTTCCCTGTCCACTAAGCAAAAACTCATTATTCGCCCCCACACCTGAGTAACCCACTTTCAGTTTGTGTGAACTTGATCTGTGTCCTTTTACAATTGTTCTATTTCACTTAGTGTAGTTTCTTCCTGGTTGATCCATGTGAGAGATGTGTCAGAATTTACTTTACCTGCAGGTGAAGCATAGGTGTCATTATGTGGGTGGCCACCTGCCTCTGCCTTCTGGCTACTGTAGACAATGCTGCATGAGTGTGGATATACAAATACTTGTGTGAGTGCTTGCTCTTGGTTCTCACAGACATCTACCACGAGGCAGAACCACTGGTCATATGGTTGTTCAATGTTCTGAGGAACTGCTGGTATTTTAATCCACTTACGACATCTACCACGAGGTAGAACTATTGTTAATATGGTTGTTCAATGTTCTGAGGAACTGCTGGTATTTTAATCCACTTACTCACACTCATGGGTCTTTAGGTCATGAGATTTTACTACATCTGTCTTGTGTTCTTTTCTAGGGGAGGAAAATGTGATTGCAGTTCCTTTGGGAAGTCGAAGTGTGAGAATTACTGTAAAAGGACCTGCCCGTCTCTGTAAGTAGAATCTCACCTTAGCATGATACAAAATTTCCCAAAATCAACATCAGACAAGCAAACAAAAAAAACCACTTCCTCGTTTATGATGGGGATTTCATCCAAGATACTCAAACAGTCTCTGTCTCTAGGAGAAATTTTAAATATTTTTTGAATTGGAATTGAATTATATCTCTCTGCCTCCTCCCAGATAATCTCCTTCAAACCCTTCCTGTGTTCCCTCCCACTCTTTTTACTTTGATTATTAATGGTGTGCGCGCGCGTGTGTGTGTGTGTGTGTGTGTGTGTGTGTGTGTACTATGCTTTAGGTTGGAAAGGATATCAACTTGGGCTTAATCTCCCCATGAGAGAGAAAATCAAATTGCATGTAAAATAGTACAAGAATTCAAGGATCTTCTAGGAGTGTCAGAAGTTTGGGACTAAAAGAAAAAAAAAAAAACAATTAAAGACCTCATCAATGACCTTTGATCTGGAAGGACAAGCTTTGCTGCTGATTTATCATGGTTTCCAGTCCAAGTGTTAGTGAAAACTGGTAAAGGGTTCGTGGGAGCAATATGGAGAGTACCAACAGAAGTGCAAGGGAGGTGTCTCTTTGCCAATATCAGATGGTGTTGCTTACCTTAGGAGTGTTTGGTTTCTTAGGATGTATAGAAGCTAGACGTGCCATGGGTTTCCTTCCTGTCTGCCATGGTATCCTTATAGCCTCAGGCTACCTTAGTTTCATTCAGAAGACAGTAAGTCTCAGGTAGACTGGGCTCTAAGCTTGGAGGAGTGTATTGGGTTTAAAGGCTTATATTTATTATTTTAAATTATGGGCATATTTAGGGGGTATGTGCATATAAGTGCAGGTCCCCGAGGAGGCCAGTGGTGCCCAAACCCCTGGAGCAGGAGTTGCAGGCAGTTGTGAACTGCCCAGCATGCCTTCTGGGAGATCCTGAGCAAGAGCTGCCCATTGTCTTAACCACTGAACCATCTTTCTACCCCCAATTGTTTGAATTTGACTGGCTCTGCACATACAGAACAAGAGACACTACCATGAAGTCACACAGTCAAGGTCACTGAGTTAAAATACTGTTTGGTTGCCTTTTCTTCTAGGCTACCACCATAGATTTTTTTTTTTTTTTGACCATAAAAATTTTTCAGGGCCAGAAGAATCTCACAGTTTTGGTAGTATGTATGCTTCTCCACCTGGAACTAATATTTCACACACAAATACCCTCAGAGAAACATTTTCAAGAAAATGGTGATGTACAAATATTTCAAGTCATCATCACACTAAAATCTTTTGTACACAGTGTGTGTGTATACAAGTGTGTGTGTGTGTGTGTGTGTGTGTGTGTGTGTGTGTGTGTGTGTGTGTGTGTATGCTCACACAGGGGTGGGAGTGTTGAAGTCAGAGTTTGATGTCAGGGGTCTTCCTGAGTCACTCTTCACCTTTTTCTTTGAGACAAGGTCCTTCTCTGAACCTGGAGCTCAACAATTGGCTGACCTGGCTGGCCAGCAAGGCCCACAGATCCAACCATCTGTCTCTCCCATGCTAGGTTTACAGGCACTTGCTGCTGCAGCTATTTGTTTTTTTTTTTTTTTAATGTGGCTACTGGGGATCCACCTCAGGTCTTTATGCTTGTGCAGCAAGCGATTGAGCAATCTCCACACCATAAGCTCTTAAGGAGAAATTCTCTAACCCCTTAGGATTGACATTAGTGAAGCAAGACTATCCTTGATGTGAGGCATTGGAACATTGTTTTAGAGACCTGTTTTGTAAATGGCTTGAAACTCTTTAGCACTCTGTGGGGTCAATTCTTCCTTCTTGTAAATTAAAATGTGACACTTAGACACTAGCAAAACTCATCCCAATTGAGTTCTGTGAATCATCCCAGTAATAAAATTGTGAGATGTCATCTGGACTAGAAACTATAAAAAGCACCAGGCATGTGATGCATACCTGTAACCTCAGAATATAGGCGATGGAGTCAGAAGGATTGGGTGTTCAAAGACAGCCTTGGATATGTGAGACTCTGTCTCAAAAGATCCCCCCAATCTATGCATATTTACATAAGTTAATACTGAATAAGTAAAGTACTAAATATCCATAGCAACATTTGTCCTGCTAGTCTTCAAATGAGAACAATACAGATATCTATCAATTGTTGAATTAATAAACTAATCAGGACACATATGGACTATTATTTGTTGATAAAAAGGGAAGGCATTCTGATGAATGCTACAATGTAGGTAGATGATCCTTGAAAATAATGAGTGAAAGAAGCCAATTTCATCTTATGTCACCCAGTTCCATAAGATGAACTATCTAGACAGAGAAAGCTGCAGAGACAAAAAGTAGGTGGATGATTTCCTGGCTAAGGATGACATTTTATTTGGAAGTGACCAAAACCATTGCAATCTTATTCTGTGGTGAAAATGCTGAGCATGAATAAATAAATAAATAAATAAATAAATAAATAAATAAAGTATTTTGTATAGGTGACTAGGGGCTGTGAATTAGCTAAATAGTAGTGTGAGGCCCTGGTTTCAACACCAAGTACTGGAAAGGGAGGCAAACACACCATGAAGAAAGAAAACAACTGAGAGGTCTCTATGGCATGACAGTTAGATATCAACAATAGTTTAAAATGCATTTTTAATGTGTTGCCCTAATGATACTGATGGCATTTCCCTAAGTTCAGTTTCAAGATTATGGTGGTGTTTTGAGAGAAGGTCTCACCCTGTCTTCCAGGTGGTCTTGGAACTCCCCGTGTAGCCCAAGCTGGCTTGTAGCCCAGGCTGACTTTGAACTTGGGCTAAGCTTCCTGCCTCGGTCTCCCAAGGCCTGGTTTGCCAGTGTCAGCCACTATGTCCAGCTTTAAGAGATTTTTTAGATATAAAAACAGAGTAAGCAATTCAGTAATCAGAACAAGTATGGACAAATACCCCGGGGCCTCCTTTCCACGAGCAAGCATATGCAGGCGGATGAAGCCTGGCTTTGTACTGGAGACTGGCACTGTTCTGGAGACCAGGTTTCAGAAATGCTCCCACTTCTCCAAGTGACAGATCTATTGCTTGGAGTTTTCCTCTTCTGAAGCCCCACAGGCAGCCCTGGAAGGCTTTCTGAAAGCCACCCTTCTCCACTGGCTGCCTTGCAAAGGACTTAGTTTACATGTCTGAATTTCACAGTACAGAAGGGGTTTTGTTTTCTTGTTTTATATAACCATTTATTTTTTATTTTTTTAAAGCTGTATTTTTAAAATCAAGCTTATTTTGCAGTAATAAATCATTCTTTGAAGGCCTGTAGTAACTACAACCTTCCAAGTGGCTGCAGTTTTGAAAACTGAGAATGCTTGGTACTGTTAATTTCAAGTCCCTTTGTTGTGGAATGGAATTTAATTATAGAATGAAAATCTTAAAAATCTGCCTAGAGCTGTTTAGATTCTGAATTTCTAGCATGTTCTAATCCTAGCCACATTATTGTAGGGAACCCAGAGCCCCTGATTCTCCAGTCATGCGTTCCCTCCCCAAATGCAAGCAATAAGAAAGTTCATGCAAAAGCAATGTGATTATAGCAAAACTTTGGCATTAAATATATTTGACACAGCTGGTAAGATGACTCAGAAGGTAAAGGTTCTTGCTGCCAAGCCTAACTACCTGAGCTCGATCCCCAGGACCCATGTGATAGACAAGAAAGCTACCACACCAGCACCACTCCAAAAAATAAGTAAATGTAATTTTAAAAATATGAAAGGCCTGGAGAGATGTCTTAATGTTTAAGAGTGCTAACTACTTTAAGTTTGGTGCCCAGCATGCACATGGTGGCTCATAAACCTGCCTTTAAGTCCAGCTCCAGGTCATATGTCCAATATCCTCTTCTGGCCACTTTGGGAACTGCACTCATGGTAGATAATCTCTCTCACACACATTTTTAAATTTTTTTTTAAAATTCAAAATAATAATAAATCAAATGTTTCACTAACAATAACCTGAAAGATCAAGATGCCATAGGCCCGAAACCTCCACCAACTGGCAGAATACAATTTCATGCCAGGTCCTGTCTCCGAGCATGAAAAGAACCATGGGCACAATATATAATGGCCAAACGAAAGCAATGCTGAGCAAAACAGGCACACACAACAGATATGCATCTGCTGTAGGCACATGCTTGGTGCTATAGAGCTAACTGTAAGCCCTCATGTATAGCTAGTTAAAGCCACCTAAGTATTTTACTGACCTCCACAGTCTAAACAAATCTCTTGGTCACCTGATTCTGCTTCTTTGCAAAGCTGATGTTTTCAGTGTAAGTCCTTCAGTTAGAAACATTAATTATTTTTAAATCCAAAGCCATTGTTTTTTTTCCTTCCTTTCTTCCTCTCTCCCCCTTTTCCCTTCCTTCCTTTCTTTATTTCCTTTCTTTCTTTCTTCCTTTCCTTTTTTTTCTTTCATTTCTTTCTTCCTAGTATGGGTTAAAATACTTAAAGTTGTCCTTATAGGGGCTGGAGACCCAGATAGACAGTTAAATTACTACTCTTGCAGAAGACCTGGATTCAGTTCACTACCCACACTGCAGCTCACTCTCCTGTAACTCCACCTCTAGGGGATCTGATGTCTCCTTCTGACCTTCGATGGTTCCTGCATGCATGTGGTACATATACTGTCATGTGGGCTCATGTACAGATGCATACATGTAAAATAAGTTTATTAAAATGTGCAATTACAAATGAGCTGCAAAGATCTGGGCACATGAGAAGGCTTCAGTTCCCAATGGCACTTCCTGCTGTGTGAGGCTGCTTGCCGGTCCTACTGGCTCACTCCCCACCCCTCCCTCACTGTGGAGATTGGAGGGGAAGAATTAGCTGGGTCATGGGCTGTAGAACACAGAAGCATATCATCTTCCATAATAGCAGTGGGATGGTTATGGACACCCTGGAGCTTCCACCTTGCCACCTGCTGTAAATGTCACAGAGGGCTCTGTGTGAACTCAGAGCTAGAGTATCACCGTGCAGCTATCCTGGGCATCAAAAACAAAACTAATAGAAAGTCTATGCTGTGGTTCAGGACACGGGTGTCTTCCCTTGCCCCCAGATCACCTTCCTAGATTCCCACACACTCTTGTGGCTGAGTTCCTGGGAAATATGGAAAGTTGTTATTTAGCACTGTGGTGAAACAACAGCTACCCCAACCAACACAGCACACATTTTACCACCTGTTCCTGGTTTGGGTATTGTGCCATAGATTACCATGGACCAGATGGGAGAAGACTACATAGGATGTCTCTGTAAAGATTTCCATGAATTTATATTTACTTCAGAAGAAACAATATTTTAAAGCAAAACTGAGATTATGTCTTTTGAATGGGTAGTAAGAGACACGGCTTCACTCAATCTGTGAGTTTAGGTACATCATGAAAAAGTATAAACTAATAAAGGAAATGTTTCCAAGAACTTGAGTAGACCTATGTGGGCCAAAAAAAAAAAAAAATCCTTGCTAGCCCCTAAAAACTTCACATACCTGTTCTTCCAACATGAGTCAATACCATCAACTGAGTAGATAGTTCTATATTTGTTGATCACACATAATGATACTGCACTTAGTAAAAAAAAGTCATTTGAAATCAATGTCTTTAGGATTGTTCTCATATTTAAATTTTATTTTTAAATTTTCAGTTATTGAGTCAAAAACACTTCAAGGAAACAGAGGAGAACACAGCTTCAACAGTCCTGGGGTTTTTGTTGTAGAAAATACAACGATAGAGTTTCAGAAGGGTGCCGACAGACAAATCTTCAAGATTCCTGGACCCATGATGGCTGATTTCATCTTCAAGGTAGATAAATCATCTCCAGAGCATCCTATTTAAACACAGCAAGGGTGTTCTTCAGGGAGCCAGCAATGATTGTGTTCATACATAGTGTGTGTCTGTGTTTCCATCTGAACAGGTCAATCCCATGAACTGTTCTTCCCTCTCAGGTAGAAACTTTCAGGATTAAGAATCAGTCTTTGTTCTTACAGTGGGAGATAATTTCATATTAATCACCCCCAGGTGCCCCACTCAGTTTAAATCCACAGGGAGTTTGGTGGAGATGGGTAATGGCTAAGTACACCATATGTGCAAGAAAAGGACAGAGCAGGGGTCATCCCTGGGCTTCCTTTGATGGCGCTGCCCCTGCCATCCTCAGCCCTGAGAGTGTGTTGTACTGCAGCATCTGCTTCAAGATCAGGTTCAGATTTGATGAAGAGTCCTACTCTAGCACCCTTTCAGACGGTGTCTTCTCTGGATCCCTGAGCCTGCTTCTCTCTCTAGGTAGAGTTGAGGCCATCTTCCCTTATATAAAAGAATTAAGTATAGAGGTCAATCTATTAAAACTAATCTGTTATATAAGAAAATTTCTGAGGAATGAAAGAACAAATGATAATCCAGTGAGTTAAGTTGTCCTTCATTTCCAGAGGTATCATCCAAAATTTAGTAGGATGAAAATTGCCCTGATTGCCCTTATACCTTTATAAGGAGAAATGATATTTGTTGTTTTCTATTTGTTATAATAACAAAATCCTTGACAAAAGCAACTTAGACTGGAAAGAAGGAAGGGTTTGTTTTGGATTATAGTTTGAGGGTAAGCCTATCATGGCAGGGGAAGTCATGGCTGCAGGGTCATGTGGTAGCTGACTGACCACATCTGCAGTCAGGAAGTAGAGAGAGAGAGATTAACACTGGTGCTGAGCAAGCCTTTCCTTTTTTATATAGTCAGGACCCTTATCCAGATGGGTCTTTCTATCTCAACCCAGTCTAGAAACTCCTTCACAGGCATTTGCAGAGGCTTGTCTCCTAGATGAGTTTAGATACTTTTGAAATTAATCATCACACACAGCAAAAATCCTCGAAACCTTAAAAAAAAAAAAAAAAAAAAAAACCTATGCTCTTTGTTTTCAACTTTCAAAATACTAATTGGACAAAAAATGTTTTATGGAGGCATTGGTTGTGCTACCAGAGAGATATGTAGAGGGCTGATTAAATCTGTGACCTGATCTGTATCTGTCGGGCTCAACTTCAGCCTTCAGTGTGACCAGCTGAGGGTTAGCCGCCACAGCTTTGCTTTGTGTGGGAGCATTCCTTGGCTGGGGTCCTGGACTGTGCATGGTGAAGGGTGCTGGGCAGCAGTAGCTGCCTCCTTCCTGCTTCCTGACTGTGGATGTGATGTGACCAGCTGCTTCAAGCCGCAACCTACTTGTCTTGCCTATTGTGACAGATCGTACTCTGGAACTGTGAGCAAGGACAAACCCTTTCTCACTGAAGTTCCCTTTGTCCGTGTTTTGTTATGGCAGTAGGAAGGGAAACTAAGATGATGATCAATGCTGGAAAATGAAGACATTTTTTAATATAAAAATACCTGTTGTTAATATTTTTCTGCTCTAAAAGTGGAAGGGATTTGACAAGTAGCTGGCTTACTCTATGCTAGGTTGTGGCTTCACTCTCTTGTTTGCCATAGTCCGAATTTTCCCCAAATGCATCCCTCACATTGCATTAAAGGAACAGGTGTCTGCTGCCATTCAACCCGTTCCAGGCATCTTTATCTTCTGTATGGCTTCCATAGGTATCTGTCACTCCTATGTGAGATCCTGAAAGCATCAACCCCAAATTCTTCTCTCACAGTCACATTGCCCAGAGATTTGGAGGGAGCCGTGATTATCATCTCTTCTCTCTCTGGTTTCTTCCTGTAGCATGGAGTCTATGCTTTCCTTGCAGTGCTCCTGTTTGATTCTCTCTCACCCATAGATGCAATACTTTTTCCTTCTAATTGCTAAGAGAACTGATAGTCTCATTGAGTCAATACAGAGGGCTTTGACTGAATGAGAGAGAGATTGAATAGAGGAGATATCCACAAAGAATAGTATTTCAAGATAGTGGTTATAGTATCAGCATGGATCTATCTTGAAGGGATCATGTTGATTCTTTGTACAAGATCACACATAATTATGAGCAATAGATGGCTTGTGGTGTGGGTGCATGTGTGTGTGTGCTCATACATATAGAAGCCTGAAGTCCACCTGGGCTGTTGTGTGTGTGAGTGTGTGTGTGTGTGTGTGTGTGTGTGCGTGTGTGTGTGTGTGTGCGCGCGCACGCGCGCGCACAAGAGCACTCATGCAGGTAGAAGCTGCAAGTCCACCTGGGCTGTTGCTCCTTAGGAGTTTTTTTTTTTTTTTTTTTTTTTTTTTTTTTTTTTTGCCTGTGTTTTAAGACAGTCTCTCATGGAAACCCAGGGTTTACAGATTAGGCTAAACTGTCAGCCCTGTGAACACAGAGATTCTCCTGTTCTGCCTTTGATTGTGGGATTACAAGTGTGTGCCAGTATCCCCAGGTTTTACTTTAAATGCAGGCACTGGATATCAGATTCAGGTCCTTGCATAGCAGGCACTCTACCAACTGAGCTATCTTTCCAGCCAACAAACCATTTCTATGAGACATGTATCTGTGCATGGACAGTCCATGTGTGTGTGTGTGTGCATACATTTGCAATACTGAGGAGCACATCAGAAAGTGAAATCCCAGGGACCATTGCAGAGGGGACATGTGTTCTGAGAAAGCGGCCTTCGGTGCATTTATAGTATATGTCTTAAAATAATTTTTAATACTATGTATTTACATAGCACTTGCACAAATAAAAATTATCTCTGATGTTCTTAACCAAATATGCACTTACCTCTTAACAGAGTGCGACTTGACACCATGCTCTTTGCACCCCGATTTAGCAGTCCCCTTGTCCCCTGTCTCTGAATCCTGGCTCTTTCAGACTGAATAAACAGCTCTGGACCTCAGCTTTGGCGTCTGGAAAGCTTTGGGGCCCTCAAGACTGAAAGGGTTGTTTAAAAGTGTATTTATCAAAGAGGGTGTTACACACAACTAACTGTGTATAAACAGACTGTCATTTCCATGCCTACAGCCATTTTCTTCCACGGCTGTGGTGTGCTTGGTGGGAGAGAACCTGGCAAAGTTGGAGACATTAAAATGAAGTAAGAACGGCTCCAATGTTGTTTTTCTCTGACTTGGGAGCTTGTCCAAATAATGTGGGTTTCTAGGAAATATCCTTTTCCATCAGTCACTCCCCCCCCCCCCCCCCCCCCTCCTCTCCAGGCTGAGCAGTGTAGTGCTGCCCAGCTGTGCTGTGGCTGAGGTAAGGAACTCTTTGCTTACATCCATCTCTTCCTGGACCATCACAGGTTCAAGCAACACCTGGATTTTGCTTAGAGGGTGGGGGGAAAAGTCCACCTGGGGTTACTGGTGACTATTCCCTGCATTTCACTGTACCCCTTCCCATCTCACTCAGTGAAAAATATCTGATATAAAGATGGTTTCCACCTAAAAGAGAACTCTGAGGCAGGGGCCTCAGGCTACCTACTTCATGCTACTGCCAGCACAGTTGTCAGTGTTCTGGGCTATGTTTGTCTTCATAGTTTATGTCATGGATTTTATAAACCTGGGGCTTGTAAATGAGCTGTTGAAAACTATTGTACATGTGACATGTCCTTCACCATGAGAAAAGAAAAATTCTGTTTTTTTTTTTTAATTTTAAGATACTATTTTCATAGCTAGATTGTCCCAGGGAACTCTGCCCTTTCTTCTTTCTGTGGGTTTCTCACTGTGTGATCTTGTTTTCCTGAACAACACTTTCTCATGGTGGCTCCAGCTCCATCTCTTTTGCAGTGGGGTGATTTACCCTGGAGCATATGAGGATTTTGTCCTGCAATATGTGTACCTGGCCACCAGTAAGCAGTAGATACTCTTGACCAAGTAATTGCTGTTTGGGTCAGTTGCTGACAGATGAATTATAGGCACTGGTTACCCAGTGGGAAATTACTTAACATAGGCATCTGGGAATAAATGTTTGGGAATATCAAATTGGAGTGTATTTCACTGAGATTGCTTCTGAAATAAAATTGAATGACTCTGATGAAGATACATGCTTCCATGGTAGAAGCTTCTCTGGGAAACCTACACCCATTGTCAGGGGAGAGAAAAAAAGCTTTTGTCTTCTTTTTGGCCTGAAATTTTCCCTTTGCAAGCTGTCATTTGGGAGGAGTCATTTTGTTCAATTCAGATATTTTCTGTTCCTGTAGGTAAACACTTTCTGTTGCTTTTCCATGTGTTTTCAACCATACAGCCTGTCTCCAGTTTCCTCCCAGGCAATTCTGATACCTTGTATACTGTCTCCTCACGTTGTCTCTTGTCTCGCTTGTCTAGAGAATTAGGATGGTTTATCTAACTGCCTGTTTCCTTTCTGTGGTGGCTGCACCATGTGGTGGCAGCAGTAATGAAATCCACATATCCCCAGGTGCTTTAGAACACAGTAGGGGCTCTGTGTGTGTGTTGTTTGTTTTGAGACAGGGTTTCTCTCTGTACCCTTGGCTGTCCTGGAATTTGTTTTGTAGACCAGGCTGGCTTAAAACTCAGAGATCTGCCTGCCTCTGCCTCCCTAGTGCTGGGATTAAAGGAGTGTGCCACCACTGCTGGCTGAGTTTCTCTTGTCTGTGGAGGGAGGTCACAGGTGGGTATATGCATGTGCCATGTTGAGAGTGGAGGGCAGAGGACAATTTGCGCGAGAACTAGAGTTAGTTCTCACCTTCTACTCTGCGGGTCCTGGGAATGGAACTCAGGCTTCCGGGTTTGTTGTCTGGCGGCTGACCCATTGCACTCCCTCTATTTGAGTTTCTTCAGTGAAGCAGCAAGTGGTTTCTAGTGTGCTTGTTTTTCTTTCACACTCAGTTTCCTGTTGGTTTGTTTGCTGTGTGGCTACAAATGACCTTTAATTCCTCAACCTTCTGCAGCCACCTCCCAGCTGCTGCCATTGCCATTTGAGTCACAGCCCCAACAACTCCTCAATCTCACAATCATCTAAGAGACTGGTTAACATAGTCTTCCTGCCATGCTGATATTTTCAGTTTGAAGTACGGTGGAGGTGTCCAGGGGATTGAGTAAGTATAGAAATCCCAGTGAACCATGGCCCCAGGGAGCATTTTTCTTTATTATTACAGTGTTTCTCTTGAAATAGAAAATCCATTTTCTCTGCTAGTTACAACAGCCAAAACAAAACTAACAATGTAACACAAAGCTCATCTCAGGCATTCTTAACCTATTTCTTCTTCAGTACCACTCCTGTTGGCCAGCTCTAACTACTTGGAATGAGGGAGCGGGTGGCTGTAAATAGGGAATGTGGCAGCTTCAAGTGCATTTGCATGTATAGTGCTTGTTAGTTTCAGCCATGGGTTCACATGGCAGTTGGTGATACCCAATGTATTTCTCAGGGCTCTCACTTCTCCCCTGGGTGGGAAGAGTTCCTGAAGCAAGGACCAGAGCAGTTAACAGGAAGCAGATTAATGGAGGCAGATGGAGAGTTGTCACCTCTCCTCCAGTCCTGTTTACGTTTTCTCTGCAATGGAATACAGAGTTATCGGAAGCGAATGACCTTGTAGAATGAGTTGTGAGTCTGAAGACTAGGAAAGAAGCACTAAGTATTTTCTTGAAGAACTGGAGGTAACAGGCTATGGGAAAAATTGCATGGTTCCTTGAAGTCCCTGGTGTCTATTTGAGGTTAGTAGGATTGGGTTTTTTTTAAAGTAAGCTTGTGACTCAGCATCTTGGAACATGCTTGCAATACTATTAATTAACAGGTGGAGGCAGGAGGATTGTAAGTTTGAGGCTAACTTGGACCCTAGTATAAGTCCCAGAGTAGTCTGGGCTATAGAATAAGACCTGTCATAGAACAGAACAGAATAGAATAGAATAGAATAGAATAGAATAGAATAGAATAGAATAGAATAGAATAGAATAATTTATTGGTTACTTGTCTAATTTTTTTGTTTTATTCTAATCATCCAGAAAGTATCTCTAGTGTGTCTAGACACTAAATTTTAGTTGTGCTGATCATCTTTTCTTAGTTTTACTTTTCTGTTTATACACATTTTATCCATGTTTATTTCTTCTATGGGCTCATTTTCATGTTGTCTCTTGAGTTTCTAGAGCTGATTTTTTTTTCCCTGAGACAAGGTTTCTCTGCGTAGCCCTGGCTGTCCTGGAACTCACTTTGCAGACCAGGCTGGTCTTGAATTCAGAGATGTTTGCTTGCCTCTGCCTCCTGAGTGCTGGGATTAAAGATGTAGAGCTGAATTCTTAATTCACTTCATGTTCATAGTTTTCTCTACTGTTAGTTTTCCTATAAAGAAGTTCTTAATTTGTTTGCAGTGTGGCATGTCCATTTTTACTGCCTGTTTGTGGTGTGGTATATACATCTTTACTGCCTGTTTGCAATGTGGAATGCCCATCTTTATAGTCCTTGTGGTGTGTCATGCCCGTCTTTCCTGCCTGTTTGCAGTATGGCATATCAATCTTTACCATCTTTTACAGTGCGGCATAGCCCTCTTTGCTGTTTGTTTGAGTGTGGCAGCCCCTTGGTGCTGTTTGTGTCCTGGATAAGAAATTGTTGCCTCTTCCTAGTCATAGAGACATTGTTCTGTGTTGCTTCCTGGGGCTTTGCTGTTTTACCTTTCCCATGGACTTGGTTTTGTATATGCTGTGAAGTTCAGTTAATGTTTCTTCCAGTGTGACAATCTCATTGACACAGGGTCACTGCATGGAGAACCCTCTGTCCTAACCCTAAGTCCACTCTGTATAGGTGTATTGAGGGATTTTGTTTCATGGGGAAAGTTATTCTAATATCAATGTGACTTATCTACATGGTATTCAAATAAGTCTTAATGTCTGTTCTGAAGGCTCTAGCTATGTTTTTGAAGATGACCCTTGATATTCTTGATTCTGAATTTCACTGTCAATTTTGAAGTCAGTTTGTATAAAACTCCTTGGGGGAGGTGGAGGCACAAACTGAGGGGTGGATGTTGTATAGAATTCTCAAAGAATAAATTTTAAGAATTAAATATAAATTAATAAATGCAAATGTTTTTCCAAACAAACAAACAAACAGAATTCTTTGGATCTGTTAATCTCTGTAAATCAGCTTCCAACACTGTCCTTCTAATCCATAAATATGGTGTCTCCACACTTCAGTCTGGTAACTTAAAATTTCCCTCAGTATTTGTGATTCCCAGCATGTGTGTCTCATGGGTCTTGCATTATACTTATCTCCATTGTTTGATGCTTTGATGTGTTTACGAATAGCTCTTCCCTCTTTTTCTATATATCTGTGTCTAGCAGGTGACAATCAAACAGACTTTTATAACGCATTGTGTTCTTACTGTAGTCATGTATCATTGCTGGTCATTTGTGTGTTCTTTTAAAGTATACCTGTATAGATTGTGACATCTGTATAATGATAATTGTGGCTTTCCTTCCTGTCGTTTTGTGTTTTCCTCTCATCGTGCATTATTTGAGACATGTGATACAATGTTGAGCAGACATGAAGACAGCAGCCTTCTTTCTGATGCCATTTCAGGGCTGAACGCTCTGTGCACAACTTATGCGAAGTTTGCTGTGGAATCTTCTGAGATCTTACCTGATGGAAGGAGTTTGGTTTCATTATACTACACAAGTGTAGATAGAATTTATCAAGGCTTGCGGTGTCTTTTAAGTCAATAGTGGGATTCACCCCCCTTTCTCCTTTTGTTCTGACTCAAATGCTAAACCATCTATGTTTTCTAGTATAAGCACAATTCAGGCATCATTATATTTTAGAATTTATTATTATTTTATTATTCATAAAACTATGTATCTTCTTATATATATCACTGAATGTGGCTTTGTATTATTTTAGATTTTGTATTTGTTTCCAGGACAGGTTTTCGTTTTAACTTTAATTTTATGTGTATGAGTGTTTTATCTGCATGCATGTCTATGTATCAAATGTGTATCTGATGCCTGTGGAAAACAGAAGAGGACATTGGTTCCCCTGGAACTGGAATCATAGACCCTTTGTGATCTGTCACATGGATACTAGACTAGAACCCAGGTCTTCTAAGAGAAGCCAGTGCACTTAACTTTTGAGCTATCTCTCTTGTTTCTCAAGACCAGTTTTGGTTTGTTGGAATGCTCTTTCCAGGTCTTGGCATTCATTTTATAAAATACTTTACAACAGAGACTGTCTGTCCTGAGCCCCCAAATGTTTGGGGACTGCCTTTGTCACAGTGTCTGTCATACTCCAGCCTGGCCTGCGACTGTTCATGTTTCAGTCATTGTAACAGTCACTACTGTTCAGGTGGAAGCCCACACCTTAACGTTGAACAGCTAACGAGATGAACAGCTAACGAGACATCATTGCCTCATTTCCTTGTCAGTTTACTACACTGAAAACACTTGACATCTCCTCTTAGCAGATTCTTGGGAATAAAGTCTTGGGGATCATATGTGTGTTCACATTTTGGGGTCTTCCTCTTTTGAGCTTAACTTTTATTTTCCCTCTTTTTTCTCTTTGAGAAGCTTACTGGGAGCCTTCCTAAATTCATGGGGTTTTTCCATTAGGAAAAAAACTAAAGAAAACATTGGAAGAGAGCTTGATGTCTGAGTAAAATCACCTACAAATGAATGTAGTCCTGTCTATAACGCTGCTTGCCCCCAGCAGTGTCATTCCACTTTAATTAGCTACTAGACATTCACATAACTACAATGTATCTGTTCACTGCAGGTAAGTTAAGTCATTAGAAGAACTTCTAGAAGGGAATACTTGAGATTGTTATTTACAGTGCTAGAATCAAAATACATTATTTGCTTCTATGGAAATATAATGAAGCCCATTGCTTTGTACAATTAATACATACTAATGGAAAATTAAATACCATTTGTGTAATATCAATGCAAAATAAGAATCACTGGAGTAAAGAGTCCAAATTATATGTTATAAGCAAACCCAACACAAATTAAATCTCAGTTTCTGGTGTCATGGAAACTGGAACTAACATTTCAGGAAGGAAAAACACGAAATAAATAAGCAAACAAGTTCATGCACTGTTTTGTGAATCTGTTCAGTGGCATAAAGTTATATGGAAAAAAAATGACTCCAGGGAGACATGTTAGGGATCATCTGAACCTCCATTTGAGGTTAAGTCTGAATGACAGGCTATTCCATCTAAAGCCCTCATAGTCCTCTTGTAGCTTAGCTTATTGTCATACTTGTGGGTGTTGCCTAAGATGGGCAAAGAAGACAAGAAGAGCTTGGACTCACTGTGTGGAATGTACCATGCCATCACCATTCTCTCTGTCTAGACCAGGTACACTGTGGCCAAAGGCAGCGTGGTCCAGTTCTTCTTTTACCAGCCCATCAGCCATCAGTGGAGACAGACTGACTTCTTTCCTTGCACCGTGACATGTGGAGGAGGTGAGACACAGACTTCATTCTGGGATACCCAGAGCTCTGACTCAGGATGCACACATGCCTGGTCGAGGCGGACTTTATGACTGGAATAGGAGGAAGTGTCTCGTGCATACTAAGTTCCAGGGTCTAATACACAGTTAAAGAAGGTTTGGTGTCAAGTGTAATCCAAGTATACATATACAAAATAAAAAGGATGTCAGTAGACATTGTCTGCTTGATGTGGAGACATGATAGTCTGGAGCAGGTGGAGAGGTGGCCACAGCCAACACCATAGTGACTCTTTTTCTGAGATGAGCTTTTTAACAAGAGTACAGGATTCTAAATTGTTACCAGCCCTATATCCCCAAGATTTGGGGGTTCCCAGAGCGCTTGAGGAGTTTCCCTGTGAGTACCAGACAGTGATACTGGGTGCTTGCCACATGATCAACTGTATGCTGAGGGTTCTTTGTCACATTACTGAGAAAGTCAGTTTGGAGTTTATTTTACACATGGCTGAGGTAAAACTTAGTAAGGATCCCCATTCATCAGGTGGCACAGTCAAGCTCTAATCAGGTTGTCCTTTTGTGCCTCCTGAACTGTCTTCTATTCCTGTGTGAAGGACACATCTTGGGCAGGGTTCTGTTTGAAGACTTAGAATACCCCAGCCCCAAATCATTTCTTACCTTGAAGAAGAATAACACCCATTAAGAAATTCAGGAAGGAACAGGGGTTCTGGACTCTTTTATCCTAACTATAGGCATATTGAGGAGGACTCCTTGGGCAGTGCCAGGTTCTCATGAACACGCAGGTCAGATCTTTCTGGACTTAAGCGTCTCCTGAGAGGAGATGCTGGCTCTTTCATGGGGAAGCACAAAGTAGCCCAGATCCCAGTGGGAGCCTGTGTCCTTAGGAATATAAGAGCAATAGCCTAGGATGGGTCAAGGCCCTAGAATGAAAGAAAAAAGTGATTTTTTTTTCTGAGTATCAGCCACTTTGTTTAGACACAGTGTGAAGAACATGAGACTCAATCTCAGGGTTGTGCATTGGTGACCCACATTGGGCACCATTTGAAGACGGAGTTTCTGTTCCACCTGGTCTCACAGCTGTTCAGTCCCAAATAAACATACAGAGGCTTCTTTTAATTATAAACTGTTTGGCTGATTACTCAGGCTTCTTACTGGCTAGCTCTCTCTGAACTTTTAACCCATTTCTATTAAATTATGTATTATCACAAGGCTGTGGCTTACCTGTAATGCTCTGGCTTGTTACTCCTTCAGTGGCTGCATGGCATCTCTCTGGTGACTCTCTTCATTCCTCTTGCCAGGCTCCTCCTAGTCTGGTATCCCCACTTCTACTTCCTACCTGGCTATGTCCTGCCTGTCTGTTGGATGAAATAGCTTTATTCATCAACCAATAAGAGAAACATATATTCACAGCATACAAAAGGACATCCCCCATCAACAGTGTGATGGACACCCAAGTCTGATCCTATAGGCATCTGTCATATGGTTTCTTCACTGTGATGAAATACCATGACTGAAAGCAACTTGGGGAGAAAGGGGTTTGTTCCATATCAGGGTCCATCATGGAAGCAGCCTGAGCAGGAACTCAAAAGGGGCAGGAACCTGGAGGCAGGAGCTGATACAGAGTCTGTGGAGGAGTGCTGCTTACTGGCTTGCTCCTGGTGGCTTGCAAGCTTGCATTCTTATAAAACTGAGGACCAGCAGCCCAGAGATGGCAACAATGTGCTGGGCCCTCCCACATCAATCACTAATTAAGAAAATGCCATATGGGCTTGCCTACATCCTGGTCTCCACATTTTTTTCAACTGAGGCTCCCTCCTCTCAGATTACTCTAGCTAGTGTCAAATTGACATAAAATTAGCCAGGACAGTATCCTTCTAAAACTCCAGCATCAGCAATACCAACATGTAAATTCTCAGACTGCCTCCAGCTCCTTAAGCAGCACCAAGAGTGTTTCTGTTGTATTTCACAGGTGTCCCAGGGTCGCATGTTGCACTCTGCATTTTTGAGGATTACTCTGTAAAGTAGTACCTTTGGCTATTGGCTACAGCCACAGTGATGTTACCATGTATATGTCCCCATATATATGTTGCCTTGTATATGTTACCACCACGCTATTAATGACTCAAGGAGTTTTATTTAAATGTGTTTTTTCTTTCTTTCTTTTTCATTAATTTATTTTTTTACATTCCAATCCCAGTTCCTCTTCCTTTCTCTCCTCCCTCTCCCCCTACCCCCACTCCCATCTGCTCCTCAGAGAGGTTAAGGCCTCCCCTAGGAAGTCTACTAAGTCTGTTAAATGGATGTTTTTAAAATTTAAATATATTTAGAAAAATAGCTTAATCATAACACTCAGCATAGGGAATGACTGGCCACACAGAACACAACCACAAAGATAAATACAGTGAAAATAGAACTGTAGTATAAAAATACTAACTTCCTCCCATCTTGAACCTTCTATGGGCTTATTGTGTATTTCTGATTTTTGTCAAACATGAAACACAGTTCTTGTCTGCTTGTTTGTTTTTTGACACAGGGTTTCCTGTAAAAACCCAGGACTTTGTGTATGCTAACTAAGCATGTTACCAACCAAGCTACATCAGCTATCCCAAGACAAGCAATTCTATAGGAGACAAAAATCTCCTTTAAATAGTCTAGTCAGTGACTCTGTACCAGGCTCCAAGGAAACAGAATCTCTGAGCTCTCCCCAAGTCTACCAAGAAGAAACAATGTTTGGAATGGAAAGTCTGAGCTGGATAAACCTGGGCCTTAGTGAGCCAATCCTGTTCTCTGACATTTGCATGCCAAGTTCACAGCAAGGGGCAGTCAGCTATTGTTGGGGATGGTGATGCAGCTCAGTGGTAGAATATTTGCCTGGTATGTTCAGTCTCTGGTCCTATCTCAGGGAAGCCTGGCCTAGTGTGCTAGGTGGAATGGTGGAGATTGAGGATCAGACTCACTCATCTATCTCTCTTTGAGCTCCATTTCTTGTCTGTTGGTAGGATTTTCTTCTCCTGATGGCACTTGACATAGCACAATGCAATTGTAGGTGCTGAGGGATGTGGTGTGGCAGCTGGCACTTAGTCCTTCAAAGTCATCTGCTGTATCCCAAGCTAAAATGATCCCAGAGACCCCTCCTTTCCCCGAAGTTTTAGGCACACTGGTACTGACTATGCATGACTCAAAGGACACTGAGGAGAGCTCTTGACAGAGTGCAATGGTATAGTATGTTGAGTCCTACATCCTTAGGTAGTAGGTCATAGGTCCAGGGAAGATAACGGTACCTTGTGGGCCCCAACATGATGGATCACAAAGAGATAATGGGGGCTTTTTTATTCTTACTCTGCAGAGAAATGGGTGTCCCTTTCTCACTTATTTCTGGCTTCTCATACATAGCTTTTTAGATAGACACACACTTCATTTGGACTCATAAAACCGAGGAGAAGCCCTTCACTCCAGGGGCTCCAGAAGCCCATTACTCCATTTTACAACAGATTTTAGTATAGTTTCATTGATCAAATTCTTGGGGGAGCTGTTTTTCATACTTTGGTGCCCACAGAAAGGAAGTCCATCCTTCTGGAAGCATGAGTGTACACAGGGGCACCTCCCAGTGAGATCAGCCCCAGTGGGAAGGGAGGCAGAACACAAAGAGGCTGCTGGGGCTACCCACCCTCTCCCACACACTGGCAGGGTTTCAGTGCATTTGTTCACAATATTGAAAGACAATCTGCCTTATTTCTTTACTCTTGGTAGTCTCTAAACTGCAATAAAATTAAAGAGGAAAATGAATTCTCTCCCTCAAATTATAAACACCTGTATGTCCCCCATTGAGTTGCTTTAGAAGAATGTTTCCACTTAGGAAGGACATAGATTTTTTTCTCTGATTCAAGGAACCGTAATCTTATTCCATATTTGTTTTGGGGAAATATAAGTATACCCATCTAACCCATACAGAACACACGGCCAAATTTTAATTATATTAGTAATCAAACCTATGTGATTGTATGAATGGCATGCCAGAGATTTTCAGATAATGAAGAAAATTAGTTGGTCGGTCTCTGAGGCTCCGAGGGTACTGGAAGAGTTGCCTGCTCTTGTCTGTAATTATCCACATGATACACTCGAGATTGTCTGGGAAGGCTCTGAGACTGCCATGGCCATCTGATAGTGTGGTCTTTCTGGCAGACACTGGCACCAGAGTAATGTTTTATTGACGCCGTTTGCATTTTCATTCTTGTGGCTTCAACCTTGCTTTTTGTAATGCGTACCAGCCGGTCCTCTGGCCCTCTGAGGTCATCTAACTTCCAAGCCATGTCTTGTAGAAAGCTGCTTGGCGGTTCATAAAGCCAGATTCCTCTGAGCAATCAAGACTTGAAATATATTTTTAGACCTTTAGACCAATTGGCAGACATTGAGAGATTAACTTCAGAGTTTTACCTTTTTATTTTATTTTATAAGGCTCATTCTAGCTTTGAAAATTTACCTTATTTTTTAAAACAACAGTTGATATGACATTTGTGTAATGATAGGAAAGCTGCAGTCAGAACTCTTAGGAAGGAAGGGGTCCTGTCTTGAGTTATTTTCTTAGGTTAACTATGTTCAGTACCTTGGAATGTTCGCTTTCCTCAAAGAAAAAAAATGTTCCAAATTGGATTTACTATAATTGGGAGTGAGTCTTCATTCCGTCCCCTTTGAAAGTTTGTGTGGTAGAGGAGATAGGGAGATGGATTTTGCTCCTGTCTCTCCTGACAATGCTAATTCCCCAGGCAGCAAGGTTATTGGCATTGAAGGTACCCTGGATACCTCAGGAGAGCAGATGAGTAAACAGAACAGAGGCAAATAGTGGACTATTGTGAAAGAAATACTCAAAGTCAGCTCTCAAAACATACTTTACAGTGTAGAGAAAAAACCTTAACAAGTGCAAAATAGACCAAGGCAGAGTTTACTTGGCATGTCCAAAGCCTGGGTTTGATCTCACAGCACACATATATTTTATAACTTAATCAAGTGTATACATTTAATCATACTCATAATATATATATACATATATAATATACATATATAATAGTAAGTTGAATTCAAAACATACACCCCAAGCAATGTTATACAAGACATTTTCATACTTAAGGATATGGAAACGATAGATCAGTAAGGGTATCTGGGGAGATGAATACAATGGGAATGAGCACTGCTGTAGGAGAACAATGGGTAAAACAAGGGAACAAGAGGGAGGGTGGGAGGGAGGGGCTCCCACAGTGAGCAAGGACAGACAGGCAGAAGAATGACAACCATGAAGAACCAAACTGTACTCAAGGTCTGGACAGTCCCTAAAAGGAGTCAACTGTAATGTGCACAACAGACCACGGTCAGTTCAAGCATTTGTGCGTGGTCACAGGTTTTAGCTGTTTCACAAGAATCTGAGACTGCTCAGCAGAAAATACCCATCTCCTGGGCTTCAGATGAGTCCTGACTTCATCACGATGAAAAGCCCTGGGACTGAGCTTCTGTTTGTCACCGAGCTGAATACCATAGAGACTACAGAGCTAGGTTTCCTAGAGAGGAAGACAAGCATGTGGCCCACACTCTGGCCAAGCAGATGCACAACTGATGACAGCTTGTACTCTTTGCTCTCATACACCTTTAGGTTATCAGCTCAACTCTGCTGAGTGCATGGACATCCGCTTGAAAAGGGTAGTGCCTGACCACTATTGTCATTACTATCCAGAAAATGTGAAGCCCAAACCAAAGCTCAAGGAATGCAGCATGGATCCTTGCCCATCGAGGTTGGTGCAATTCCCCACACTTTTCAAAGAAACAAGTCAACTCCAATTGGGACACACTGGTTCCTTCAGGGTGCTATGCTTCTAGTTATTCACTTTTGAACATGCCCTGGTGTCAGATCACATTTATAATCACAGTTAATGGGAGCTAAGGCATACTTACTGATCTAAGTTCCTTGGGCTAGCTATTGTCGTGGGATTGTGTATCCCTAAGATCTTTGTAATAAAGCCTTTTGGGTAATTCTTGCAAATACATGTATCAAAGACTCTTATGTATATGGATCTGTCAGAATTCCATGCATAGTCCATCTATCAATCACAAATATCTCCCACTCACTATTTTAGGCTTTAAATTGGGTCACCCATTACCACATCTTGGATTTTGAAGTGTTCACATTTAACTCCGTATAAATAATGTATTGTGCAAGGAAGCAAGCAGTTTTCATGCCAAAGCAGAAAAGCTATGCAGAAATTGTTCTACTGCATAATTTAGTACCTGCTGACTTGGATTGTCTAGGCAAGTTTCCTGGCTTTCCTACAGTATCTTAAAATATCAGCCCAATATCAATCCCCTGGATCCTCCAGCTTCCTTCCAGCTGGCCAAGGCCACAGTGTACAAGTGGGAAAAGCAGCCTTGTCTGTGACTTTCATTTCCTGTACTATAATGCCCATTTTCTGTAATCCTGCTTGGACATCACTATTAACAGAGACCTTTCAAAGGACAGAGTCTGGAAGCAGAGTGATTCTCTGAAGACTCGGCCAACATTATAGTATGTTCAGGGCATTAATATATCAGTATAGTGATGTTTAAAAGGAAGTAATAGACTTATCTAGAAGAGAATTTTTCTTTGATTAATATGCCTTTAGTTATTTTTATATAAATGGGAGATGGCCTGAGTACTTCTCTTAAAAACTGAAAAGATGCTGTCTGAATTTTGGTTGAGTAGTTGATGAGCCACTTGGCATTTTTGGTTTTCCATTTGAAAGACTTCTGTCTTGTGGGATATCAAATGCAGGTCAGTCAGTTAGCAAATGTGTTCATTGAGTTGGAAATGATATTTTCACAATGAACCTGTATTAGTGAATGGCCACGTGTGTGAGTGGATTTATAAAGCTGCTTTTCACTATGGTTTCCTTTGCAGTGATGGATTTAAGGAGATTATGCCCTATGACCACTTTCAACCTCTCCCTCGGTGAGTTAAATATTCCCTTCCTTTTAAAATGGATTCTAAGTGTTTTGAAGGAATACTTATTTCCCTTTTATAACGTTAAAAGGCAACAGGCTTAATGATTAAAAAAGATGTATCTAAGAATTAGATGGAATGAGGTGCCTTTGAAAAGTTTGTAGAGTGCTATTGACCATTGGCAGGGACAGCAAGCTTATCTTGAACAACAGGCATCAAAACAAACAAACAAACAAACAAAAAAGAACTAAAGCAGTTGTCCTCAACCTTCCTAATGCTGCAACCCTTTAATATACTTTCCTCATGTTGTAGTGACCCCCCAGCCATAAAATTATTTTCATCCCTACTTCATAACTGTAGTTTTGCTAGTGTTATGAATCATAATGTAAATATTTGATATGTAGGATATCTGAGATATGACTCCTGTGAAAGGGTCATTTAACCACCAAAGGGGTCATGACCCACAGGTTGGGAATCACTGAACTAGAGCCATTGCTCAGAAACTTGGCTCCTCTTTGATAGCAAGATGACCAGTATCCTTTCTCCCTCTCCTGTCCTTGTTTCCTTCCTTTCTTCCTTGCTGTTTTGTTTGAAACAGGATGTCATGTGGTCCCAGCTGGCCTCAGACTACATAGCTGAGGTTGCCTCAAATTCTTGATCTTCCTGCCTTTACCTCTCAAATATTAGAACTACAGGTATGCAACACCATGACCAAATAGTCTAGTTCTTTTTTACTTTGACTATGATTCTCAGGAATATGGTCCATCAGTACTTTATAATTGAGAAACAATTTAAAGGTCCTTTCACACTCTATATTCTAATTAATTCAATCTTCATAATGGCCCTTTGAAGGCTAACTGCAGTGGGTATGTTTTTTTCCATTATATAGAAAACTCATGTTCAGAGAAGGTTAGTTCCTTGTAATCACAGTTAAGATTAAAGTTCTAGGAGATTTAAGTCTTGTGTTCTTTCAATAGAACCATGGCTTGATACTATGAAGTCACCCTTTTTGAAAGCTCTTGCATACTTGAAATGAGCTAGCATACATTAAATAAATAATGTAATTTCCCTTGTTTGCTTTTGAGCTGGGAACATAATCCTTGGACTGCGTGTTCAGTGTCCTGTGGAGGAGGGATTCAGAGACGGAGTTTTGTGTGTGTAGAGGAATCTATGCATGCAGAGATACTACAGGTAGAAGAATGGAAGTGTATGTATGCACCCAAGCCCAAGGTGATGCAAACTTGCAACCTGTTTGATTGCCCCAAGTGGGTTGCCATGGAGTGGTCGCAGGTGAGATTTGAGAACATGATGATTTTATTAATTATGTAAGATTTTAATGACTATTTGCTATGTATCTGAAATTTACTGGATATCATGATTTAGAAAAGTTGTATATAGGGGGCTGAAGAGATGGTCCAGTGGATAAAATACTTGTCATGTGCTTAGTTAGGGTTTCTATTGTTGAGAAGAGACATCATGACCATGGCAACTCTTACAAAGGAAAACATTTAATTGGGTCTGGCTTACAGTTCAGAAATTTAATCCATTATCATCATGGTGGAAAGCATGGAGACATACAGGCAGACATGGTGCTGGAGAGGGAGCTGAGAGTTCTACATCTGTATCTGCAGGCAGCAGGAAATGACAGTGACACTGGGTGTGGCTTAAGAATCTGAGACCTCAAAGCCTGCCCCCAGTGACCACTTCCTCCAACAAGGACACATTTCCTAATATTGCTACTTCCTATGGGTCTATGAGGAACCATTTACTTTCAAATCACCACATTCTACTCCCTGGCCCCCATTGGCTTGTAGCCATATCATAATACAAAAATGCATTGAGTCCCACTTCAGAATATGCAGAGTATGGAGACCATACTCTACCACAGCCTCAACAATGTTTAAAAGTACAAAATTCAAAGTCTCTTCTGAGACCATTGAAATTTCTTTGCTTTAATCCTCTGTAAAATAAAAAAAAGCAGATCAATACTTCCAACATATAATGGTACTGGATATGCATTACTGTTCCAAAAGGGAGGAAAGGGAACATAGTGAGGAAATATTGGACCAAAGTAAGACCAAAAAACATTTGGGCAAACTCCAAACTCTGCATCTCCATGTCTGATGTCAAAGCATTCTTTAGATCTCCAACTCTTTTCAGCTTTGTTGACTGCAACACACTTCTCTCTCTTGGACTGGTTTCAGTCCCTATTAACAGTTCTCCTTGGCAGATATCTCATCTCTCTGGCACCTCCAACATTTTGGGGTCTCCAAAACAATCCAGGCTTCACCTTCACAGCTTCACACAATGGTCATTCTAGGCCTCCATTCAGGGACACTTCTGACATATGCAAGGTCTCAGTGACTTTCTTTAGTCATGGATGGAGATTCTATAACCCCTTTCTTCTATCCTTGACTCTTAAGCTAGAAGCAAGGGGCTAGCTACCACGTCCTCTTGCTTTGTGGGGCTGGAACATGCCTCCCTCATTTAATTACTTCTTCACCAGCTTTCTGTTTTTGATGGTTTCCTTTACTGCCTAAGCTTGGTTGTCCTGGAATTCATTCTGCAGACCAAACTGACCTCAAACTCAAGAGATCCTCCAGCCTCTGCCTTCCAAATGCTGGTATTAAAAGTGTGTACTACCACATCCTGCTTTAAGCTTTTCGCTAATTACTTTTCACAATTTGGATATTTAGTTGAATAGGAGCTTTCTGTGATTCTCTATTCCCTTTATTGCATTCAACATCAGGGTTTTGTTTAATCTGTTTATCTCCGTGAACACAGGAGTCAGCTCCATTCTACTTCTGGTGCCCCTTTTCTCTTTGAACTGTACATTTTTAATTTTTCCTTGTTCAGCTTGCTCTTTTTTATTATACATCTTCTTCTTCTTCTTCTTCTTCTTCTTCTTCTTCTTCTTCTTCTTTCTTTTTTTTTTTTGGTTTTTGAGACAGGTTTTCTCTGTGTAGCTTTAGAGACTATCCTGACACTTGCTCTGTAGACCAGGCTGGCCTGGAATTTATAGAGATCCACCTGCCTCTGCCTCCTGAGTGCTGAGATTAAAGGCGTGCTCCACCAATACCTGGTGACCATTATAGATCTTCATAAGAGTAAACACTAATAACCACACAATAGAGTCAATGCTAGACTGTTTTGAGATATCCTCTGCCAATGCAACTCATGCATAACTCTTCAATTTAGCCACAGGGGGACTTCTCACACAAGAGGAAGAAAAAGTTCTTGGCCAAAATATCACAAGAATAGTCTCTAGGCCACATGTTAATATTCTTCTCCTCTGAAATCTATTGACCCAGGCACCCACAGTTCAAATCAGCCTCAGCACCACTGTCCTCCATGTTCCTACTAGTAAGGCCCATTAAGCCCCACTTAAAGTATTCGATTGCTTTTCCAGTCCAAAGTCCTGAAGTCCACATTCCTCCCAACAAAAGCATTCTCAGGTTACCATAGCAATGCCCAAATCCCTGGTAATAGCTTCTGTCTTGGGGTTTCTGTTGCTGTGAAGAGACACCATGACCACAACAACTCTTATAAAGGAAAACATTTAATTGGGGCTGGCTTACAGTTCAGAGGTTTAGTCCATCATTGTTATGGTGGAAAGCATGGTGGCATGCAGGCAGACACGGTGCTGGAGAGGTAGTTGAAGAGTCCTACATCTGTATCTACAGGCAGCAGGAAAGGACAGTGACAATGGGCATGTGTTGAGCATCTGAGAATTCAAAAGCCCCCCACCCCCAGTGACCACTTCCTCCAACTAGGCCACACCTCCTAATAGTGCCATTCTCTTGGGTCTATGGGGGTTATTTTCTTTCAAATTACCACACCACACGAGAATAAGGGTCGGAATTCAGATCCCACAAAACATACTTTAAAAAGCTAGGCAGTCCTGATGACTACTTGCTACCCCAGCACTTGGGAAGAGACAGAGGGGATCCTGAAGCAAGCTAGATAGCTAGATTATCCAAAATCAGTGGGCTCTGGGTTCAGTGAGTGAACCTGATTCAGTAAATGAAATGAGAGATGATCCAGGGCAATACTCCATGTCAGCTTCTTGTCTCTAAATGACATGCACATGCATACACACACATGAATCCTCACACATGCAAACATGCATGCACACATACATATCACACACACACACACACACACACACACACACACACACACACACAAGAAACAAACAAACATAAATAACTAATGTGTGTGTGAACATAGTCCCTATATTCAAAGAGCTCTAGAAGATAGGACAATGGGAGAGTGGTCACAGGTATCAATTTAGGTAAAGATTATTACTATTATGGGCTGTAGTACATGTTGAAGGTGCAAATGCCAAAGCTCTCAGGGGTGAAGTCATTGTGGCACTTGCAATGCTTAACTCTCTCTGAAGGTAGTAGATTCCAAGTAAACAAGAGCTTAGAGAGAACACAGCTGGGGCTGATGGCCAAGCTACTGTCAAACAAATACAAGTATGAAATAGAGTACCTAGAAGTTGGAAAAAAGTACAGTTGTGGCTGGAAAATACTGTTTAGTTGTAGTCATCTGCTGTCTCTGGCTCTTAAAGTCTTCCTGCCCCATCTTCCACAATGATCCCTGAGCCTTGTGGGGGAGAGGGTGTGCTATAGACTTCTCTTTCAGGGCTGAACACGCCCTAACCACTTTTTCTCTATTCCTTGACCAGTTGTGGGTATCTGTGTTAATCATAATATACTATACAAAGAAACTTCTCTGATGAGAATAGAGAGATCCACTAATCTATGGCTATAAGAAGACATTAAGACACAAGAGGGCTAGCTGGGTGGTGGTGGCACACACCTTTATTACTGGCACTCAGAAGGCAGAGGTAGACAAATCTCTTAGTTACAGGCTAGCCTGGTCTACAGAGTGAGTTACAGGATAGCTAGGGCTTCAAAGAGAAACCCTGTCTCAAAAATAAAACAAACAAAAAGATACAACAAGGCAGGTGTATATATGAACCCGCAGCCATGTGGCAGCATGGACAAAGACCTCTGTAAGCTCAAACCAGATAAAACCAAGCATGGAGTGGGGAGGTGGTCATGGAGAGTTAGTTTTCTTTAAAGTTGTGGCTACTGGCAGGTCTAACATGCTCCAGAGTATGGTCACACACCCAGGAATATGAGCAGCACTAATTTTACTTGATGGATGTTTAAAAAATAATGATGACATAGAGTTAGGTGGGTAGAGAATGGGGAGGGTGGTTCTGGCAGGAACTGATGGAAGAGAGTGACTATGCTCAAACTATAATGTATAAGATTCCCAAGAACTGACAAAAATAAGCATTTTTAAAAAGAGAAGATGGTTTTGATTTACATAGATTAAAGAGAGAACATGATTCTAGGAATTGGAAGGTGAAGGTGGAAATATTGACATGACATTAAAATTGTGTCCTGATCCAGTAGTTAAGAGACTGGGTACCTTTTTGAGGGAAATCATATTTCAAGTAATTGAAGCCAGCCAGTTAAACACCAGGAAAGGCCTCTAGAGGTAAATGACTTCTTGGAAAACATGAAGGGAACAGGAAAAAGTAGAGAAGGGGGGAAATGTCCCAGAGGTTTGACAAGACCTCACTCACATTAACTGTCTAGAAAGGAGAATTGTCTTCTAGAACAAATAAAATGCAGTTAGATTAGTCCAAGGTAAACAATACAGTTGCCTTTATTTAATGTTATCTTGACTCTTAATTTTCTAGAAAGGAAGTCATAAAAAATACTTTATTTAATGTTATCTTGACTCTTAATTTTCTAGAAAGGAAGTCATAATGGATTTAAGTTTCTATAGCTCTTTTGCATGGGACTACAATATGATCACATTAGTTAGATATTCATCTATTTAGTGTGTCAACTGATATGCTGGAAATAGAGAAAGCTTGCCTCCATCTCTCAAGAGGGTTTACATTTAGTTGCACAACCATACACTCAGACAGCTGTAATACAGTGGACCTTTGTGGCTGGTCATGAGTGGTATGGCTTTTGCATGTGGTATGGCTTCTACGTGGGGTACTTCAGGTACACAAGGTGAAGAGAGTCACCCCACATGGAGGGTCCAGGAAGGCTCCAGGAAGGTGGTTGCACTTGCAGTGGATTTGGGAGCTATAAGAGTTGGCTGAGTTGGTCAGTTTGGGATATCCATGCTAAATGTCAGCCTGGAGAACATCATCTGTACTTTTAGGACAGGGGTATCAACTCAGCTTGCATTCACACTCTCCCTAAAAGAAGTCTGGCAATGACTTACCCCTTCCCCTGTATTTAGGTTGAAAT